GTTTTAGCTCTTTGTGGGTTAGGGACTCCACTTTCTCTCACCCTCCAGGCTCTCATGGAGCCAAGCCCCCTGATTTTTAAAATTCTAGGCCTTGGGGCGCCTGGGTGGCGCAGTCGGTTAAGCGTCCGGCTTCAGCCAGGTCACGATCTCGCGGTCCGTGAGTTCGAGCCCCGCATCAGGCTCTGGGCTGATGGCTCAGAGCCTGGAGCATGTTTCTGATTCTGTGTCTCCCTCTCTCTCTGCCCCTCCCCCGTTCATGCTCTGTCTCTCTCTGTCCCAAAAATAAATAAACGTTGGAAAAAAAAAATGTAAAATTCTAGGCCTTAAGTCCAGCTCATTGTTAAGAACTCACAAAATTCAGCCCCTCTGTTTTTCAAAGTCAAATATTACAGAGAATCATCTTTGCTGTGTGGTCTTCCTGGTGGGGTAGTCTTATTTCTCTCCCTTTGCTGCACCTAGGGGGCCTTCCCTCCCATGATCAACTTGTAGTCTTGCAAGCTTGTACACACATTTCTACCCTTCCTACCCTTTTTGATGTGTTCCCTTCTCTATATATGTTGTGGAATTTGTTCTGCCAGTTTTGGGGTCATTTTCTGGGTTATTTACACTGATGTAAGTCTTGTCTATTTGTATCCATTGGATGAGGTGAGCTTAGGGTCCTCCTACTTCACCATTTTCCCCCCATAATCCCATACTTTATACCTTTTCTTACCTAATACACATCGTACTTTCTTTGTATGTGATCGGGTTTTGGAATGGTGGGGGTCCAGAACCGACGGCCCAGAAAGAATTCTTGAGACGTCTTTGGCGCAAAAAGGTGATTTTATTAAAGCACGGGGACGGGACCTACGGGCAGAAAGAGTTGAACTGGGGTTGTGAAGACTGACGTTATATACTATGGACTTGGGGGAGGTAAAGGCAGATGGGAGGCCTCCAGAAGGACTTTGATATACTAAAGAGGACTCATAAGATGTCCAGGGGCTTTGCTATTGTCAAGCTAAGGTTGTTTTCCCTGTAGTAAGGCATTAACATTAGGACAGTAGGGGGTTCCTGGAGAAATGTTATACTCTGTATTTGCTTCAAGTATTTGTCAATGGGTTACAGGTTATAAATTTAATTTTCCTGCCATTTCTTTCTTGCCTTTGTTTCCCCACACACTATGGAGGTTAAGGTGATTTAGAGCTCCAGGAAACTGAGTCCATAGGTTTCTGGAGATTAGGCTATTGATAAGATTGCCTTTTTCTTGTAATTGACTAAGACATTTGTAAACGGACAGGTGTCCTGTGTGACTGTGATCTCTGTTAACCATTTGTTTTCTTTCTTTTCCTTTGTTCTTGGGAATCCAGGAGTGCCTGAGGAATATCACATATATCCTTCCTTGGTGGGGGTGGGGGGGGAGTTGTACTAGCTAGTGTTTGGCCTTCAGCTTGCCTTATGTTCCCTCATCGTATAGAGATGTTTCTTTTATTATTTTTAGTAGATTTACTTATATATACTGGAATCCTTAGTCATTAGAAATCTTAACTTCTAATAAAAACTGAGAAGAAATTGTGAATTGTTATACTACATTTAGTAGGTTGGCAAATTTATGCATAGATTTCATAATTTCTGGTAGCATATGCTTCCTCATAGTACAAAATGTGGCACAAGATATGTTTGCTGAAATATCCAAGTATCTTTAGGTAACAAGAGCCAAAAGTAGATACGTCTGTGTTCGTAATGTTTCAGTATTTTATCTTACTTGGAAATGATCTAGATATTCAGTGAATTTCCAACATTTAACCTAGAAAAACCCCATAGTTTTAGATTATCAAAAATATTTGGGTAACTACTTTTAAGTAGACCTACCATAAATATTATTATTGAAAAGTCTGAAAAGGTGGAGGCAGGGGGCACCTGGGTGGCTCAGTCACTTGAGCTTCCAACTTTGGCTCAGGTCATGATCTCACCGTTGGTAGGTTCAAGCCCTGCATCTGGCTCTGTGCTGACAGTTCGGATCCTG